AGCAATCAATATGTTACTAATACAGCAACCAATATGTTACTGATACAGCAACCAATATGTTACTAATACAGCAACCAATATGTTACTAATACAGCAACCAATATGTTACTAATACAGCAACCAATATGTTACTAATACAGCAACCAATATGTTACTAATACAGCAACTAGCAAAATTGACAGATACAATTTGGTCATCTTAACAATATGCGAGTCTCTAAAACAATGATTAAAAGCACCCCCCTGGTTAGGCCCAGTACAATTTCAGTGTTTTCTTTCAGCTACGTATTTTTACTACCTTATTCGAGATAATACATAGAAAACCATTTCATGATCTGCCTAACATTATATGTATTATGTCACCCGATCTGTTATGACAGGAATATTTTTAGACCTTCAATTATTGTAATTTGATAGTACCAGTAAAGTATACAGTACTTTAACGACTAATGTACCCCCTATCTTATTGAAGATTGGTATGTATGTCCTGAAGACTAGACTTGTAGGGTTAATTAAGTATGTGTACTCATTGGTTTTGGGGTCAAGTGGACTATTAAAGTTGAATGACCCTTTCAACCAAGACACGCCTACAGAAGCAATGAATGCTGGGTTGGAACCACTCACATTACTGAATTAAAAAGTAATATGACATCTGTTATTTACAAAAGTGTTTTTACCAGAATAGAATTTGATAAATGTGAGGTAATAATAGATTCTTTCATGGAAACAGTTTTTGTACAAATTAGGAAATTTGAAATATGCAACAAAATCACTAAGGTTTAATTGTTTCTAAAACATGGCAACTTTTGCAAAAGTTTTACAAGACCAAGTCACCTTGAATTGCCAATTCAACAGATTTCATGAAGGCGCTTGTTTAAACAAATTTCCATTGTGACTTCCTGTTTCAAGGACCTCAGTGAAGTGTTTACTGTGACTCCCTTGTCTTAAAAAGTAACCTTAGTAAAATGTTTACTGTGATTTTAAGTTCAGTCTTAATAACCTCTTTTAGCCAATATATATTTTGTGTTATCCTACCGACACCATAAAAAACCTTGTGAAAATAGAGGGCATTTTTGCCTGATGCCTTAAAATACCATAGCCATTTTTGCACATTGTCTCTTTTGGTTTTACATCTCCCGAACTTTAGATTATGGAATATTCTTACAATTTCTTGTATGCATTATATCTATTATGATGTCCTTTATGTATTATACTACTTTTATGAAATACACGAAAGGTATTTTTCTAGTCATCACTAAAAAATCACACATGGCTTTTTATGGATTGGGCCATATTGCTGTTGGTATGGATTTATGGTTTATTATGGTATCAGCTATTATGGACATTATGGTTTTTTATGGTAAAATTTGTTACACTTGGATTGAATATGGTAATTTATGGCATTTTATATGATACTTGATTGTGAAATGGTATATTATGGCTTCAGATTTAAAATTTTATGGTAATATATGGTGTCAGAGTTCACTAAACCATGTGTTACTATACCATCAAGATTTCATTAAAATTTGATACACAGGTGCAAATC